AGGAAAAAGATCCTTTTTGGGTCTTTTTACATAGTACTCACTTGAAGAATTAAGCAACAATGTGCATATGACGTAAACAGTGTGGTCGAAAGTTAGTAACCTCGTATGATGTTTATCAAACTGTTCAACTGTTGACAAGCTGATCGTGTCCAGCTATCCCAGAGTTCAAACAAAAACCAGGAAGTCGTAGAACTGAAACAACCTAATGGTTTGTGAGGCGCTAAATGCCTCTGAATTCCAACAAGATTGAAGAAACTGTATAGTGTTTTCAGGTTTTCAATGCAAATAACTTCACTTACAAGGTATGATCCTTCTCACACCACAGGGAGATTGTCAGAAAGTGGATAGTCAGCCACACAACCACTGGGATCACTCTATAGTCTAAAAATGCCGCCAAATTTGGCAACCAATCAGTCGTTTGCCAAGACAACTTAAAGAAGTAAGCTTGAAATTCCATTACTATCAGTGGAACCCCGCTTGCGGACAGGAGTAAATGTAGATCTCATAATCCTGGAAAATATGCAGTTGACGTTTGTTCAGCTGCCTCAGCGATAAACTGGTTCACATTCTCCTGGAACCTACAAATTTTCTTGCAAGACCTCACAGTGATGATGGCAGCAATGTCATACTAATGATTATGAGGAAAGTGCTGGCGAATAAAACCATGGAATTTTACGAAGAAGCGAGGAATCAGTAATCCCTTACCACTCTAATGTCTGACGAATTGCGTAGGTAGACAATCGTGGGAGACTAGCGGAGTTCCGACTGTCTTCCGCCATCAAACCGGAAGTTATTAATCCAAGAAGATTCTAGGATATTCTCCCTATTTTTACGGCCTATTCACACCCATTATATATATATATATATATACGGTTGCATGCGTATGTGCAGCTCTACCTTTTGGCCTGAAAAAGGCGCAACAGAGGTCTAATTTTGTTTCAGTCGCTCGGCTCTGCTAAATTGAATTTCCTTACTGGTGGAATACACTCGTTTGCATGGCTGGAGTAATGAGTTGTTTCAAGAAACAATACCGCATTATTTCGTGTACCACAACAAATAAAAAACTAGACGTTTTTTGCACATGGAATTCAGTTGGGGAAAATTATGAACTTGAAATTCAGCAGAGAGTTATTTGAATTTTGCATTAGAACCAAATCAGCGTAAAGCTTGGGCTAAAGCAGAACACCGTTTGACCGAAACTCGCCCACGTGATGAATAACAGGAAGAATGAAACAAATCATGTATGAAACATTTTAGCCAACTTATGAATATTGTTTTCCGAATAGATAATAATATTTCTCATCTCTTATACACACAGTTGTTGATTAAGTGGATCTGTGAAGAACGCAACTCTTATATCGTTTAAGCCCTAGCCTTTAATGCTTTAATTGACAATATCCGCCAGATGGCTCCAA